ATATATATATATATATATATATATATATGTATATTTTTGTACTTTTTCGTTTTCCATAAATGCATGAAAATTCGCAGTTTAGTTACCACTGTAGCAGTAAACTAATTCAGAGGTAACCTGAGATACTAAGGCGCAGCTTCTACCGCAGAATGAAAAAAATTCTATCAGCAGAATTAATATCGTGTGCGTTTGTATTAACTTCTTAATGGATGTACGTTGCTAATGGATGGAATTTTCTTTGGAAATATCCCTCGCGGAGTGGTGGGAGTAAACGGTTATTCAGACATTCAAAGATTTAGGAGCAAATTGTTCTCTACATTTTTAGATAAATAATTAATAAATAAATAAGACGAAGAATTGATTTATATGGAACGGTAATATTCTTAAGAGTTACTCGTGTATATTCTTTGCATTCACTTATACATAAACAAATGTCTACATGAAATCTCTAGTTATTTTGTGACTCTTTGTTCACTTTCTTTCTACTATTTGAAAACAAATTTTTTCTAGCATTCCTCTTTTTGATGAGGAGTTTCTCGATGGAAATACGCGTTAAAATAATATGTTCTAGTGTTTCCCTCATTTTTGTTCAAAACTTATTAAAACATTCGAAGTTCCCTGTATTTCGTACTTTTAAGAAATAAAGAAACAAAGTATCTTCCGGTTCATGATGTTTTCGCAAAAAAAAAAAATTTTTTTTTTGAATAAAAAGAAGTAACAAATTTATCAAGAACAATGTACTCTTATCGTTATATCTATCAAAGAAAAAAATAAAAATTCTATCTTCTCTCAATTTTTTAAAAATATATCTTCTCCGATGGGAAACAGTGATGAGAAGACGATCGACTTTCCGAAAATCTGCAACCGATTTCTGGTTTCTAGGCGCGATGTTACGTAATGCTCCCACTGTCCTGCCATGTTTTATAGTGACCTTAACTTTTGTAACAGTAATACCTCGCCTCTTTGCGATTATGTTTCTGCTTACAGAGCGTATCTTTAACACAGCCCAGTGTATAACTGGATCTCCTACTTCGCCTCGTGTATTTTCGCTCGAGTTAGTGGCAAGGAAACGAAACGAACGCGCGAATATCGCCTCGGTGAGACTTCGCGAT